ATGGAAAGTCATTCGTAAAATGACTTATGTAGCAGAGGAAATTACGTTCTTTTGCATCCGCATTTTATAAGCCTAATATGAGGAAAAGTTCTTCATTTTTTACTATTACATTCTCTCACTAAAGGAAGAAAAATCAGAATTGGGAGATAGAGTAGAGGAAGAGGGTGGCCAAAGGAAGAATAAGAGGATAAATTATTCATCATGTCCAATCCAACCTCTTGCATGTGTAATCCTTGTGGAAACTGCTCAATTAAAGTATTAAAAAAGCAAAGATCATTCCTCATCCGTTCATCTTTATCCTTTCTTGGAGAGAAATTCAGGTTCTCAATCTTAATGGTGGGGTTCCTATACTAGTGTAACATTTGAGGAAATTAGAATGCTATAGGTGATGTCTTGCAAATTGGTATGATTCATGATAATGTGTGATATTGAAAAATGTTGATTTTATGGTATGTTGAACTTGCATGTATTGTTGAAATCTAATTATGCTTGATTAGTGTTGAACTCATGAGATTAAGGTTTTGGTATAAATGATTCTTGGTGATCACAACATGTTCATAATAATTCTTATGTTTTGAAGTATAATGCATGCTTGACTAGGTGTTCTTACATCTAATACCATGATATATTCTTTGATTAATTCCAAACCATGTTCAATTGTAGAATTTCATCTTGGTTGTTGGAAATATGATGTTTGATGCAGGAATTTGGATCATTGATAGTTACCTATAGAATTTCAACATTAACCACGAATTGACCGTGGGTAAATTCCCTGATTTCATGATTTCTAGGCGGGGCACGACCTTACAGCTCAGCATGGCCACCCTGTGTTGAATTATGCTTAGTGGCTTTAGGAAATACGACCATGCAAGCCTGTACGACTAGGCCATGTTGCCCTATGTTTCTTGATAAGAGGGGTTGTGCTAAGTGCGACATGGTCCGTACACTTTGACACGGGTAGGCTGTGTTCCCCTCCATTTTGGGCAATCTAAGAAGTGTTTCACACTCGTTTCGACCTATGCCAAGTAACCCAATTAAGCCATAATAGTATGAGTATATTGTATCCGACCATGACAGTGAAAGTTCTATTATGTATTAATGTGATTAGTGTTAGACTTCGTCAATATAGAATGGAAATGACACGATCTTACTCGAATAATGGTATGGTAAGGGATTAATGTGCCACATTCATATAAAGTGCGCATATTTGTTGATCAATGAGTACTAATTGGATCAATATTGAAGTCCTAGTTGGTTCAGATGTTATGTATTTCCCATGCTGTATTCTAAGTGGTAGAGTCTAGCTAATTTGATTGTAAACACTCGACAATTCACTTAGTAAAGGTTAGTGGACATTCGTAGGAATGTAAGTGGTTGAGAAGTAAGACTTAACATATCAACCTTCTAAATTGAAGGAATTAAGAAGAGCGACCTATTGAGGTATAATTAATGTGACGATTCTTATTAGAGTTTCTACATTAAATTCTTGTATTGTGATTGTGTTCATCTTTTTTCTACATGAATATGTTTTTCCTAACAAAATGAATGTAACTTGCTAGTGCAGAATTCTATATGTGGTGACGTCATTTATTTATATTTTTGCATTAACATAAACACATTATTGATATTTATAAAATAATAAATAAATATTTATTATTGATATGTTTTTAATTTAAAAAATAATATAATAATAAAGAATTACTTTGAAGAATTTATCTAAAATTTCAAAAACTTCATAACTTTCATAAAATTGAATAACTAAAAAAATGTTATTGGAGTTTGAATTTTGGTTTTGAAAGATTTTGACAAATTATCCATAAATAATCTATATTGTTTTAGTCCTCTAAATATTAAAAATATTAATAATAACAATCCATTAATTACAAAAAGTTTTTTTTTTATAAATTAATCTAATTTCCCATCTAATCATTTCCTATCCAAATCCTAAAATCTACTAGGCACATCCAAATCTCACCCCAACAAATGTCACCACCAGAAATGGCCAATAATGTGGAGTGTAAAGACATAAATTTACATACTTCACTTCAATAATTCATATTTCTTGTCACTTTTGAGATTTCAAATATTTTTTTAACCATCTCTATTTTATTTTCATTAGTGGGTCAGGAAGGAATCCTATATCATTTTTTTTAATAATAATATTCTTCTTGGTCGGGTAGGCAGCAGAAAACTTTGAAAATTGTATATAATTAAGTGCTTTATGGATGAGGATGATTAATTCACTTTATTATTGCTATTATTACACGTGAAAAACATAACCCTAGAACATAAAACAAAAAACGAATTCTTAACTTAGACATCGTGATAAAGTGACTTAGTGGTTTGAGTTATAAAAAAGACAAAATACTTACATATAGGAGTGATTAAAAATTTGTTAGATATAATCTGACTTTATTAAATACAATTACAAGTTGGTTAACGAGTCATAAATTAGAAAAATTATACTATAACTAAGATAATTTTAAAATTGTATCATACACTAATTATAATTAGATTTAAATACACTATTAGTAATATTTTTAATTTTCTAATTCTTTTTTCAAAATTCAATTTTTTTATCTCTCAATTTTATTGACCCCACCACTTTTTAATACGTTCAATAATAATTAAGATAAAATATTATTTTTAATGATATGATAAAGATAATTAAGATAATTTATTATGTAATATTTTTTATAAAATAATGTAATACTTTTAATTATTTTATTAAAAAATTTAAATTAAATGTATACAAATTTAAAATAAAAAAATAGTGCTTAAGGCCTAAATTTTTGCGACTTTATTGATTAAATTTACTATTTGTGAGAGCAATGAAATCTATTTTGAAGATATTATCCTAATTATTTTACTCTGAATCTATTTGTTATTCTCAATCAATCCAATCCATTTTGAGGAGATTATCCTAATTATTTTACATTTTACTTTGAATCTATATTTGTCATTCTCATTTGATTTATTTGACACTACTTTTATGGCTTTTGTAGATGTAGTTTGCAATCATCATCTACGCGGGTATGAATTCAAAATGGAGGTGTTAAAATGGACTGACTTATATAGGTTAATTCGAAAAATAATAAGATTTTGAGCTTTAAAAAGCTAATTATCTATTAGGGCTATTAGAGCTCACTCATATAAAGTGTGAGTAGACCATTAAATTTACATCGTTATAAATTTTAAAATTTTATATTATATTAAATTATACTATCTTACTTTAAAATAATAAATGATTTTTTTTACGTCGTTAAATTTTATCTCTATTTTATTTAATATTTTTATTTTAAATATTATACATTAATATAACCAACACTCTTTTTCTTGCATTCTATTAGTTTTATTGTGTTAAATATTCAAGTATTATTTTATAAAAAATACTATAACAATTAAAAATATATTATATTTAAAATAATATAACTTTTAATTTTATTTATAATAAATATTATGATATTTTAATTTTAATTTTTTATTAAAAAACTTGTTTAGGGATTGATAACCCGAATCTTATTTAAAATTGGATTTAGATAATAATTTTTGAACCGATATTAAAATTGAGTTTTTTAAGTCTAGCATCAAAAAGCCGAATTCATCACAGTTGGTCTGTGTTAGTCCAGATTATCTATTTTATCAGCTTTAATTATGTGTATTAATCACTTTTATGTGAGATAATGATTTTTTTTTGTTGTTAAGATATTTAAATTGGGTTATTTTCAAATGGTCACCATTTTCATTCCAAATTAAAAATATTAATTTGGACTTTATCTTATAAAATTAAAAATTTATCTATGAGGATTACTATGTTTTAACTAAAATGTTTACACCATATGAAATACAACATGTTCCATGCGTATGTGTTTGTTTGTGTTAGAATAAAGAAAAAACTAATGATTAAACATTTTTAAAAAATTAAACAGTATAATAATACGCCGTAGATGTTACATTCGGTGTAACAATAACATTTATTTTTATTTATTTATTAATTAAGTAGTATAGTAATTGAAATTTATTAGGGATGTTGAAGAACCGATTTTGTTCGGTTTTGAGAAAATTTAATACTCAAACCGATAAAAAATATATCAATTTATTTACATTGAATTTGTACATTTTTGTGATAAAGTCTAAACGGAATCAAACCAAAAAATAATGAATTAATTTGTGTTGAATTGATCGGATACATTAGAAACAAATGTATAAACATATTTTTTAAAATATATATAACTTACATCAATTAATTTTCATAATAATATAAAATTCTTAATTTTTTCTTATCTTCGTATGCGTTGTGAATGTCACGAATGAAGATTCTTTTTTTTCTTCTTAAAGTTGAATACTTTATACTAGTTTGATAATAATTAAGATATAAATTATACAAGTTAGTTATGGTTGGTTCGAATATACGATCTCACTGGTAGAATTTTAGAAATCTATTACCCGAACCAATTAACATCGAGTTTTATTGGTTTGGTTCTGTTCGGTTTTTACCCGAACTAAAAAAATATCCAACTAGAACATTATGGTTTGTTTGGATTTCGATTTGATTCAAATTTGTCCGAATCAATGAATATCCTTAAAATTTATCTTATTAAAGATGAATAAGTGAAATGTCGTTGGATGAAGGGTCTCCGACGACAGGGGTGTTTTGTAAAAGGTGTTCCTGAGAAATGGATATACGAGAGAATTCTGGAAAGAAAGCGTATGGAGACTGGGATCTTATTTTTCATCAAATCATCATACACTTGCAATGTGAATCCCATTTTGATATTTACATTGGAAAAACTGCATCTTTTTACTGTATTTTTTTTTTTTTCACTTTATAATTTTTAAAATAGAAATACCGTAATAGTTAATAAAAGGTAGTAAATCAGTAACATGACCATTTTCTATATTTTATTTATCCTTGTGTTAAATGATTAAATGCAACAATAAATATTATAGACGAGAGTGAGTAATACAATGTGTTGCAATTGGTTGTGACAATGTGCCACTCAAAAACTGGATTCCTCTGTTGAAGGCCGTGTCAAGAAGTATCTCAAGCTGTTAACCAGAACCTGCCAAATCGTACATACGCACATATTAATATTAATCACAAATGTCTGTGTCAATTTTAGACACAAATACATATGTATTTATTTTCAAAAGTATCGGTGTTATAGAGATTAGGTCTCATTTTCTGATAACAGCATGTAAATTAAGTTTTCGAACACAGATATTACCTGCTGAAGAGGCTTGATAATAGCTTTACCGTTGTAACTGACATGAAACTTTGCCTTAGCCAACAGACCCTACATTTTACACCAAATTAAGTTTTCAGTATAATAGATTAATTGTTGCATTTGGGATATCTGAGTGTATGAATGAAATTTTTTACCTCAGTGTCGAATTCTCCAGATTCAACAGCAATGTTAATGTCAGTAATACCCTTTACAAGATCAACCAATAATCCAGGCCGATCGGCTGTCTCCACATAGAACAAACTGCAGCAGAAGCAACACCAAAAACAGAATCAATACCTAATACATGTTACTTAAGGATGAAGCAACCACTATTAGCACCTTCTCTCTGGACCGTCATCCGTGACTGTTAAGTGAGTTGCTATGTCCACATCAACCTGGAATTCGTTCATTCGTAAAACTATAAACCATATTCCAACAATAAGATCAGAATGAAAAGTATTGAATTCATCCTCACCTGTTCCTTTGGAGGCACAAGTCCAAAAGCCGCTCCTAGAGCCAATTGTTCACTTGATTCCTTTAAAACCAGTTTCAAAACATGTAAATTAAAAAGCACCACTAACTAAATCATGGTCCAAAATAGTATAGGACTATTGAGAAGCATTTGTACCGGGTGAAACGTGATCATGTTGTTTAAGATTGTTAAACGGATTGCTTCTAACAACTCTGGATCTTCCACTTTCCTACCTGTATCACTGCAATCAAAGTTTTATATGCATCTCTAATTATGTCATTATTCGCAAGTCTATTTGAATGCAAATAGTGAAAGAGATTAACTAGTTTAGGTGCTCAAATACTTAAAAAGTTCTTCCACAAAATAGAGACTAATTTAACTTATTTTGCAATCTATAAAATTGTCTAAAATCTGCAATTTTTATTGCAAAATAATACAGAAGAAATATTGCTTACGCTTTTGTGATTGAAAACTTGTTGTGCTTGCCAGAAGAATCAAGATACACTTTTGCCTTAACAACATTCAGTCCCAAGTTTTTCAATGCATTCATCTGCAATGCAACCGATGTCACCGCTTATACCATTTTCTTAATCGAAGTTTATTATCAATCATCTCTCAATTCTGTTTTTTAAGTAGTACAGAATGACATGCATAAATATAGATAAGATCTTACATATATACTATGAAGTCCTAACACAGACACGGACAACGAAGATAACACGTGTCAGACACTAGACATGGTTTAAGTAAATGTTATACGTAATACATATAAATGCTTACAGTATCGAGAAGAGCGCCAAGGCGATCACCAAAGGTAATCTCGACGACAGTTGCGTCCGGATCAGAGTCTTGATCAATTATAACAACAGGAGTTGGGACAGTATCAGCCACACTTTGATTTCCATCCTGTTTCCGACAGAGAGAGTTAAAACCAAAAGTTTCCTTTCAGTCATGCTAACTGTTTACTACAAACATATAGTACCTCAACATTAGAAACAGCTGTTGCTCGTGGGATGATTGTAATAGCAGAAGATGATAATCTGAGAAAATGGTACATACAATTAACACAAGTATCTAAATATAGTCCAAGAAAATAGTTACTATACTAGGTAGTAACAAAAGATATATGTATAATAAATAACCAAAAGTACATACTTACCTTGTTTTCTGAAGAACGAAACATGGTTTATTAGTATCATACATGGCAGTGGTTTTCAAGATAGGGGCAAAGCAATTGTTATTATTATCAGAAGTGAGGTGAAGTCCAAGACTACAAGCAGCCATAGCCACAGCCATTATTGAAAGAGTTGAAGGAGGATAAAGGGATTTTTGAGAGAGAAGAATGAATGAATGAATGAATTTATCTAGAAAATGGAAATAAATCTGTGACGTTCACTTCTAATCTTGAACAACTAATAAAAGAGTGACGCGTTTGGTTGAGATTATATGTTTCTATGAACCATGCCATGCCATCCCTTTTATGTAGGAGTGGATAAAAGCGGTCCCTCCTATAACCCCTCAATTTATTATTCTTGCTTTCTAATAATATTCTTCCAACTCATCATTAGTTGGGTTAGACTTTAATCATAAGATAATTATTTTAATTTTAATTAGTCAGATGGATTAAGATAGAATAAGCAAGTGTATGTTAGTAAAAATAATAATTCATATTTTATTAGTAGATATAAAAACACAAATAATATCACATATAAATATAATAACTAAGACCAATAATGTATGAGATTTAGTTTGAAAAATTTGTCATATAAAAGATTATAAGATCGAGTCGTAGGTTAAGTCGCTCTCTTTAACACGTTTTATGACATTGTCCAAAATTACGCAATTGGTCACTCAACCACGTCGCCTTCAGGATAAAACAACTTAGTTATACACTATATAATTACTATTTGCATGATAGATAATCGGTCTAAAAATACACTCTCTGATGATACAAAAACCATTCTAATATGGTATAAATACCATTCGTAGTATTTGATATAAATACCGGTCATTTAATTTTTCAAACGAGGAGAAATTCAAATAATTCTTTAAAGAAAATTCAATAATGATCCATTGACCACTCAACATGATTTCTCCAACAAAGAGAATAATTCTCCAAAAAAAATCCATAAATAATACTTGATAATTTCTCAAGTCAAACGAGGAGAAATTAAAATTATTCTCTAAATAGAATTCAAGAATATACTTGGAAAACTCAACGATTAGAAAGAAAGGGAAAGAAGTTGGCGCTTCGACAACTCAAAACACGCGAAGTTAATAGAGCAAGAAAAGAAAAATCCAAAAGAACTTTTTGATGTGTTTTGAAATGAAACGAGTGATTTCCTTATATAATGAAGTAAACTAGTCAAGATCTCTAATCTAAGGAATGTGGAACTAAGGAATATTTTCAACTAACACACAAACACACTTATTTTTTTTTAACAATGCGTGGTTTAGGAAAATTTTCAAATCATCTCCCAATTGAAATATTGACATAATCCAACAATCCTCCACTTGAATTTAAAAAAGTGTTTTAGAAATAATGTCAAACGTTTCTAAGATTGTGTATAAACAAAGATGTCTACGACTTAAACCTTTGCGTAGCAAGTAAAATTCCAATTCAACAAGAGTTGACACAACTATCTTGAACTCCACCTCAGATATCAGACTTGCACGTAACCTTTTCTTAAGATGTATTTTAATAATCTTGTGCTTTAACGTTATTGCACGTGCATCCCGATTTAGTGAAGGCTCTAGGAATTCTCCCTCGAAATTCCATAGGAACTGACCTAAGTTCCACAATCACATACGTGGATCCATCAATAGTACTCATGTAGCTTGTTACTCTCTCATACATAGTATAGATCTCATTAAGAGTTTCTATTATCTAATTTTATCACTTCAGCATTCATGCTTCTCTTATTCAAACTAGTATGATCACGTCATATTACTCACAACTTTTTATTACCCATTAAACCTATTTCTTTGGATCTTTATTCTATTGGCAAAGTTACCATCATGAGAAACTCATTTTAGGCATTAGTCTCATCTTATTGGATGTATTATGTACTTTTTCTCTAGCTAATTCTTTCGTCCAAGGATCTGCTAAATTTCATTAGCATGTAGGTGTTCTAAATTCTTTAAATCTTAGTCGATTCTTATTTAAGGAAGGCATCTGACTTGATAGGATCAAATCAAGCTTTTCTTTTCATTGGGTAAACTTACATAGATTTCATATAATTCAATTACTTTCTTTTTCAAAGAGATATAAGTCTCACATGTTTGTTTTGAGTTTCTAATATTAGTTATTTCTATTTTAAGTGATTTTTTGCTTTATTCAAAAAACCCTAAATACTTCTTAAAGTATAAGATGAGTTTTTTAAGTTTATCATTTTCTTCAATCAACTTAGATCTAATTTAAAATAACTTTGAAGGTTAAGAAACACAAAAAAGAGGGTTTGAATTGGGTTTCATAATTTTTTCCCTTTTTGCAATTAGAAAGATAAAACTAACAATGACAATAAAAATAAATGATACAATTATTTTTATCCTAGTTCACTGTTAACGAAATTACTCCAGTCCATTCACTAACGTGGTTTTGCCATATCACAAGGACTTAATCCAATAATCATCAAAATGATTACAACCACTAAGTTATTAAACAGCGCGCTTAGCCTTCTCAAGCATCCTGACTTTCACATAGCCACTCAAGGAAATCATCAACCCATAATGGATACTCTCCATTGTCTTCTTGAGAATTATGACTACCACGAGTCCCCCAAGGAATACAATCACCTTTTGACAAAGGATTTCTTAAGCTACCTTCAACAAGGATTTACGCCACCTTTAGAAAAAGGATTTTACATGTGTACACTTAATGTTTCTTACAAGCTAATTACACAAATGAAGTAGAAGAACACCTAAGTGTTTCGAGCAAGTTCTTAAGCAACAACTCCTTGCTTTCTAATACAAAACTATATAAAGAATGAATTTCTGAGAGATTATAAAACATTAGTTCTGTATTACTTAAAAGCTTTCTTGATGAGCACTACGACTTCTTTTCATGGGCTTTAAGCTTCTTTTGATGAACTCCTTTCTTTAGCATATAATGTTTTTTCCAATTTAACCATCAAGATCAACTAAGTTACTATGCTTCACTTATTGATATTTCACTTGACTAGTTATACATGGTTTATCATGTTGCATCGTTGTACACACATTCAAACACTTTACTTCAGCTTCTTCTTCATTGAGAATTCTTTATTTAAGCTTCATCTTGTAGCATTTTATTCAGTACTTTAGCTTTGCATGGTGTGCTATCATCAACGAACAACTATTAGCAAATCAATAATTATGTTCAGCAATTCTTCAAGCTTCTTGATCTTCAATTTATAGAGTTTGAGAGAATAGATCCATTGAGGGGAATTCTTGGAAACGTATTCCAACGGTAATATCCCAATGTTCACATAAAGGAATGGTCAACATCATTGTACAAAAAGTTGCTCTCGCGACACCTTATCGAGGTAGAGGTCATGGGTTTTTGTTTTCTTGTGTTCAGCTCAAAACTATTCTTATCTTCAATCTTTCTAATATCTTCAGAGGCTTCAGATATTAGCTTGATGAAGCATGTTGTAGAAGAGTCAACTCTTTACAACTTCAGAAACTCAGTCTTCAGAATTCCGAGATCTTTGTTCAGCAGAACTATCTTGAGAATTTTCAGCACTTGTTCTTTTAGAAGTAATATCTTCAGAGTCTTTAGAACCAGTTCCTTCAGAACCTTGTCTTCAGAGTCTTCAGAATTCATTAAGCATATTCTTGTCTTCAGAGTCTTCAGTACTTCGTTCACCTGAACCTTGTCCTCAGTACTTCGTTCACCTAAACCTTGTCTTCAGAAACTCTTCAAAACTTGACCTTCAGATATTGTGTCTTCAGAATCTTCAGAACCATGTTAACCTGAATCACGTCTTTAGAATCTTCAGAACTTGTAACATTAGAAGCACATCACATTAGAAAGCCTTATAAGCCTTCCTCATAAAAGAACAATTAGAATGTCCAGAACTAATGTTCATTAGAACCATTGTATTAGAAACATTCATGAATCTTGACTTTATCTTGTACACACATATGTTTTCTTCTAGAGTGTTGATAACAGAGTCTGTTGATGTCACACGTCTTCTTATCAGAGTCATGATCATATTGACAACAGTCACATACTAGACAGAAGCCATATCATACATAATTATTCTCTTAGATAACATGTGCAGTTATCATTAAAACTTAAAGGCCAGATATAGAACCAAATATTATTCTTACAATCTCCCCCTTTTTGATGATGACAAACAATGCATTTAATAGAGTAATTCATATAGGGTAATCACCATAAATCCACAGAGTCAGAGATAAGCTTAACGGGCTCCCCCTGATTCTGTTATTCTCAAAATTCATTTATGCTTGTTTAGAGTCTCCCCCTGATCCCAAGACTCACAAAATAAAAATTTTGAATTACTAATTGAAGGAATTAAGAAGGAATACTTCTCCATAGACGTCTCATCAAAATATGACTAGAACTATCTCGTCTTCATCTCAGAACCTAGCTTGCTCTCAAAATACAATAGACGTATCAGAAAATGATTTGTCTTATCAGACTTGATGTCTTGTATTATATATTAGAACTTGGTAGATACTTTCTTAGATTCCATGCATCATGTACCAAAACCAAAATCATTATGCTTTCTCCCCTTTGTCAGAAATAAAAAAAGGTATAGAAAAGAAATTGACAAAGAATTATGAGGATGATCATAATGACAGAAAACGAAATTTTCATTAATACTAATAAAGAAATTACAATGGGAGACGACAGACACAAACAAATTTAGGGCTTATGACAAAACTAAGGACTTAGGAGTTCTAAGATAAAACAACTTTTCAGGGCCTGAGGTTTGTAAGTTCTCCCTGTGTCAGATGGTCTTCGAGAGAAGGTTTGTAAGCTCTTCTTGAATCCTATCTATAAAGGCTAATACGTGAGGTTTGTAAGCTCCCTTCTATTCAGAACAAATAAACTAGTCTCCTAGCAGATTATTAACAACTTTGCATCTATACACATGCCTCATCTTGTCTAATCTGTTTAACTAAACCAATGATTTCATCCTTGAAGAAAAGCTCAGTCAAAATTCTTCCATAAGGAATGTATGACCTTTGATGACCTCTGGAAGTTTTAACAGAATCCTTCAATTGATTGAAGATTGTTAAAGGGAGATTAATTATGATATTCTTTATTAGAAAATAGATAAACAATA